CTCACACCTAGCAAATACATGTCATAAACCTGAGTTATATTGACTGCGTTTAGGCTATGATTAATTTAAAATAAGCTTAGAAAACTGTATTTTTTGGAAGATCTCTGAGCTGAAAATAATACTTATAGCATAATATTTATAATAAAAGCATCTATTGATTTTCTGCAATGTCCGCTTTGCTGGTTTTCGGCGCGAAAGCCACCTATTCCTAGGTATCGTTATCTAGATTTGCTCCCTATGCCCATCAGAAGTGCGGCTATATAAATACTTTATGGTGTATGGAAAGAGAGAGGGGACAGAGACTTCAAAATTCAAATTTCACTTCAATCAAAACCAATTTTCTCTAGTATATAATATGAAGATAAATCGCATATCGTAAATTCTGCAAATTGTTTGTAGTTAGTATTAGAAATGTGCAGCCAAATTCACAATGAACTTGAGAAGTCAATCGATAAATGAATCACAATATTTGATTTCGCATCGAATGCGGTTTTTTTTTTTTTTTTTTTTAGTCAGTTCAGAAGTCGTTAAATCGTTAAACAATTATTTAAAGCTATCGCAGCGCTTATTTCAACGCCGATCCATCTAGGCAATGGGCCACACTCCCGGTAGCTACTATTTTTTGGGGCCAAGCATACATAAATATTATCGTATAATTCGCTAGACCAGCGGGCTGAAGGGGTGCAGGCAGCGACTTGGATGGAGGCGCTGAGATGGCAGGTGGGTGGGGTCTGTGTGACGCATTGAAGCGAACGCATATCTATCATTAATATCGCTGCAGTCAGCTGCTGTTGTGCTACGAAAAAGGCTGCTGCAAAAAATATATACTTCACACACACACACACACGCACGTAAGAGCCATGAATGCCAATACACACACACACACACACACATACGCATGCTGGCATTGTGTGGCCTCCTCTCTAGCACAGCGCTCGCTGAGGTTTACTGCAGCAGCGGCAGCAGAAGCAGCAGAGGCAGTAGCAGCAACGCTACTGACTGCTGAACTACTGCCAACTGCAATTAATCATTTTTCTATCATTTTCAGTTTTTTTATACATACAAACAGCCGGTGCCACTGCAACTGTGTGTGCGTGTGTGTGTGGGTTGTGCATAAGTATGTTCATATGCATGTGTGCATGCATTGGTATGTATGTAGCTATGTGCATGTGTGTGTGTGCATGTGACTGGTAAGTTATGATTTTTTCTCAATTGTCGTTTTTTTTCCTTTTCCATACCCTAAACCTATTCAGCATATTTAGACAGGAGTATATTAGACTATGAATAAAAGTATATGTACATATATAATTAATATACATATGTATGTTTGTACTAAATTTGAGTCATTAGGCCACCTACCATTTTAATTTTATGCTTTGTCGCTGTGCTCTCGCTGTACGTCAATTTCTAGTCGCTTCTCCTCGTCTACTGACAATTAGAGCGAGCATGTGCGTATAGCTTCAATAGCCATCTCGCTCTCACTCAACAGCTACATATATCCAGCAACAGCTATCTTTGTCCCGCTCTCTCTCTCTTTCTTTCTCATTGCGAATTTGGCGTATGCAGTGCAGAAATAAGCTGCGAAAAGCTAAGACGCAAACTCACATGGATAACGTTTTTACAACAATGCTATAGAAGCTCTCAGTCTCACACTAATACAACTGCAAGAGTTGCTGGCAAGAAAGAATTGGGAAACGAACTCTGCCATTAAGCTCAAAATACATGTGTACACTGTACATGTATATACATATGTATGTAAGTATTATACTTTATTATTTTGTGGAAGAGATATACATACATACATATGCACATTTTATATATTGCGTAACTTGATAACCTGCTACATATATAATTTCAAATTCAATTACATATATGTATGCATCAATAGCCAATAAGGAGAAACTAGAAAGGCCCACAAGACGATATGAAATTTTTAGCAATTAGTAGATCTATAAATGAACTGCCTATACGGCACTAAGTCAGAAGCAAATTCATTGAGTTTTTGCATGTAGCATGTACATACATATGTATGTATGTATATACATATGTAGAAATGTATTGAGGTATGCACGCATTTGCGAGGTATGTTCGAAAAGGAATGCAAATTTTTAGTTTTCAGTTTCATATTTCAAAGTATTTTTTTAGCTTTATATTTATAGTCAGAATATGTACATGCGAAGAGCTGAAGACGTCATTAAAGAAGGAGCTATGAAGGTAAAATAAAACTTGAATACAAAAAAAAAAAAAAAGCAAATAAAAAATAATAAGCTCATTGAGAATTGTCTAGCATGTAATTGGAGCTACTTTAAAGTAACAAAAAATATAAATTAATTAAGTAAAATTAATTCCCATTTTCAATAGGTTCAGGGTATACTAAGTCAATAGTCAATACTTTTCAAGCCGACCTCGTACATACCCTTGTATGTGTGTCTTCATGTGCGAGCGCTTTAAATGACATCCTTGCTTGCATCCAGGCAAAACGGTTTCTAATGGCGTCTTCACTTAGATTAGGTCAATTGGTAAATGCTGTGAGCACTCGATGCGACCAAACGAAAGAAAAAAGCCAGAGTAAAAATCATTCATTTTACATACATACACGTACACGTACACGTACCCGTATGTATGTATGTGTATATGTATATGTATGTACAGATATCTGGTCAGAAAGCCAAAGACGCAAACTTTTCGATGGCCATTGATGGTGATACGTCCGGCGTGGAGCACTGTGACCGAGCTGCGAGCTGGGCTAGATGAATGCGGAAATTTCCAGGTGCGGTTGCGGGCACAACCTCCGGGACCGAACACCACCCAGTCCGCCCGCCCAACGGGACTGTTGCAGCCAAACTGCTAACTGCTGCTAACAAGCTGGCAGCGAGCAGCGTTGACAGCGTCATGGGAACAGTGGGAACAGTTCGGGCTCAGGTCCGGTTGGGTTTAAGTGTTTTATGAACTCGTTTCAATGAAGTCATACAAAGTGCGTGAGTTGCACGGACACAGACACACAGACACACATACCTATATACAATATAAATATATGTGTGTATACATATGTATATAGTTATATGTATGCGTGTCGTTGCAGGTGACATGTGGCAACAGAAACCATGTCTCTGTGCCTCAGCTGACCTGCCCGTGGTGCTCCAACTCGACCCGTCGTCGTCTGTCGTCTGGGGCATTGAAGCTTTTAATTTGATTTTCGTTCAAGTGCGGTTTTCCAACCAATCCATAGTCACCTCTCTCACCCACACACACACACACAGTGGACAGGTATGTATATGTGTGTGTGTGTGTGTGTGTGTGTGTGTGCATGTGTTAGTTCGAAACTCAATTCGGCTTTGTCGGTTGCATTGAACTTGAGCTCCTGCTCCTGCTCCTGCTCCTGCTCCTGCTGCCGTTGCCTCTTCAGCTCCGTCTGAGCAGCCCGAGCGCATGTTGCGCTCTAATGAGCAACACACATCTTAATTACGGCTAGTCCAAAATATCCACACGAAAAACGATTAAAAGAGAGCAGTATGCATATCTTGAGCTGGAAACTCGTTGAACACTTCACAATCAAATTCAATTCCAAGTGCCTTTCTATGCGATTTTCATTGGTTGAAATGTTAGATTTTCTCTATATATACATACATGTGTGTGAGTTAACAATACCGAAAGGTGCCGGAGACATGCCAGGAGAGAAGACAATCAATCAAGCTTAGACTAACTAACTTTGTAGATATGTAGAGAAATCACTATAATTTTCATAAAACTATTGTATAATGATTTAAATTTCAGATTATTTATTCATTTTATATATTTTATAAAATACTTACTGAATTTAAAATGTATGTAAAATCATTTTTTTATCTTCATTTAATTGAATTGAATTATAAAATATTAATTGTGCAGTTTACATTATCAACACAACAAATATGCAAATCAGTCAGGTGTAAAAGTGGATAAACATAGACAGAAAAACAGTCAGATTGCAATGGCCAACAGTGTCCGATTAATGGATACCCTATAATCGAAAATGAAATGAAGATACCCTATAATATATGGAACCCTACATATGAAGCTTATGCACTTGTACATATACATATTATACAATTATATATATTATAATAGTTAATTAAGACTAACAGATACCCTACAATCAGCAGTAACTTCAATTTTAAAATATATACGTATTATATAAACTAGCCTTAAGCAGTTAGCCGTTAATCAGTGGGAGCTTAGACAAAACAAAAAACAAAAAAATTGGTAAACATAGGTCCTGTTTATATTTTAGAAATCATCAACATGCTCTAGGCTCAACCTCTCTAGGATTTCACACTGATCGATATGGCTTAAGCAGTATACTGTTACATAGACTTTCAAGCAAAACAGACTACCCCTTTTGCCAAGCCACTTACAAAGGCTTTAGATTAAGGAAAATATAGTACGTGCAAGGAGTAGAAGCCGCAGGAGCTTCACAATTGGCGACCATTTGCTAAGGAACTCGGCATGCGGCTGTTACGTCAGGTGTTGGCCAAATGGAGGAGGCGCCGTGGCGCTGAAACGGAACGAACAGCTGGGCAGCTGCATTGGCACACAAGGGGTCGGACAGCTGTGGATGAGCCCGCATCGGCTGTGGGCTGGCGCAGCATACTGGCGTTAAATACGGACGAATTTTGTCGCAACACGAGCATACACGGCCTCAAGTACATCAACAGCCGCAGGCTGCACGCCGCGGACAGGTGAGGGCGTCAAAGCCGGAAAGAAAAAAAAAAAAAAGGAAAATGAAGGTACATAAGCAAAGCAAAGATAAATGCAGATTCTTCTTTGGGCTCGCTCTGCTGGCGGTGCTTGGCTGTGCTGGTTTCCTAATGCAAGACGCCTTCGTCAAGTGGAACACGACGCCCGTGATAGTGGGCATCAATCCGGAACCGACGTACATCACCAAGGAGCCCTTCCCGGCGCTCACCATATGCAATCTGAACCAGGCGCTGGCCTCCCAAGCCGCCCGGCTGCCCAACGACTCATCGCAATTCGCCATGCTCCAAGTCCTCTGCCATCGAAAGCCGCGCACGCAGCTCAGTCGCGGCAACAACAACTGGGAGCAGCTGATCAGCAATGTGAGTACCTTGCCCACCATCCATCCCAGTTGATCTCTATCTCTCTTTCGCCAGATCTCACAGCCATGCGGCGACATGGTCATCGGCTGTCGCTTCGGCGCCGTCGACTATCAGTGCGAACGCATGTTCCAGCCAATCATCACCGACGAGGGCCTCTGCTGTGTCATCAATATGCTCCATCCACGCTTCATGTACAAGCACAAGTAAGTGCAGTAATCAGACTTCAAATACTGCTAGCAGATGCCCTGCAAAATGCATAATTTTATATGTATATACATATGTATGTATGTATTCCATTATGCATATGTATGCACATTGCTCCCAATAGCTACGACTGAGGTATTAATTATATGGATGTTTTTCCCCAAAAGTGTAAGCCATAGATTCATAGATCATTCCAATGAACAATCGGCCCAACGGCTTTTTGGTATACATATGTATGTATGTATGTACGTCATACATACACATGTATGAGCAGTTTAAAGCTTAATTTGGAGTGCTTTCTAAGCAACGAGTTGAATTCTCAGCAGAGCTTGCAAATAATAGTTGCTGGTTTGATTCCTTACTCTCTATTCACGACATCAACTGAAAAAAAAAATCATACTATCTCGCTCTCACATTCGGTTCTTTTCGTTTCTGTTTTCTGTTGAGCGCTTTGAACTTGTCGTGTTGCGCTCTTCTAACGCACATCGTTTAGGGAGAGAGAGCCGATTGACGCTCACACAATGAGGCGCAGTAAAGCAAGAATTAGGTACACATACACTTGCACACACTCAATTCACGTACGCATACATGCACATACGACGAAATTTCTCACCAAGCGGTCAGAGAACCAAAGCGATTAATAAGCGGTTTCTAGCCGATCGCGAACGAGCTCGTCAAAGAACCGATGGAATCTGTTGCTCTCTGAGTTTTTTCTAAAAATGTGAGTAAAAGAAACACTCAATTGGCATTTTTCTTGCAGTGTGCCGTTGACGCTCCGCAATTGGAACGAATCGAAGCGCTATCGGGCAGTCGACTGGCATGCGGAGCTCGGCTACAGTCGCAACCTGGGGAGCGACTATTATCCGCGCTCCTCGCTGGGCACGGGCGAGTCGCTGGGCATGTCGCTGATGCTGAACGTGGAGGCAGATGCGTATTACTGTTCGTCCAGCAACAGCATTGGCTTCAAGATCGCGCTGCACAGTCCCAACGAGTCGCCGAATGTGCGTGAGACGGGCGTGCTGCTCTCGCCCGGGCTGGAGACAAAGCTGCGCATCGAGCCGTCGAAAATGATGACGGAGCTGAGCCTGAGGCATGTGCATCGCAAGTACAGGCACTGCCTGTTCCAGAACGAGGGCAATCTCAGCTACTTCGCACACTACACGCAGCGCAACTGCGAAATGGAGTGCATGTCGCGGCTGCTGCTGCAGCGCTGCGGCTGCGTCGTCTTCTACATGCCGCGCATCAATGGCAACGACACCGTCTGCAGCATCCGCGAAGCGCAGTGCGTGGAGAGCGTACGGCTGCATACGATTGGGCATGTCGTCGAGTCCTGCCTGGACAACTGTCTGCCCAGCTGCTTCGATCTCACCTACCAGGCGATCACCTATGCCACCAAGATCTCCTACAACGACTTCCGGCACGCCAACGCCCACATGCGCAACCTCAGCCAGGCCTACGTGGAGCGGAACATAGCTGTTGTCAATCTGTACTACAAGGATCATACGTTCCGTGCCAACAAGCAGACCGAGTTCATCGGCATATCCGATTTTTTATGTGCGTCAAGGCCACCAAAGAAAGTTTTGCTAGTTTCGGCTGACCGACTCTGAAATACCCTTGCTACTTTAGATAAGGCATATAGGATATACAGTATAAATTATCATTGGTTTGAACCATATAGAATGTATATTTTTGAAAAAGATCCGATATACAAGCTCCTCAAGACCATGAAATATCCTTGGTAGCTGCTTAATATTAAACAGAGAAATCCTTACTAATTCCTTGGGATTATAATTTGTATATATAAAAGATTCTGTACGCAACATACATAGAACATATATGTATATTATAGATATTCAAGATCTCCAATATTGCTAAACATCCCGAGTATATCCCGAGTATATCGTTTTGGGATATATAGAATATATGTATGTACATATATATAGCAGAGCCGATTTCTCTCCGAAATTTAAGTGTAAACATGATTTCTAAGGAATTCAATATTCCAGATTGTCAGCCAAATTTCAAAGTACCCCATAGCAGGGATATACGAAAGCAAGGGTATTCCGAACAGATTGCAAGGGAGAAAAAACTTAAACCACAATTGAGACTTCTCTGTGTGTGTATGTGTGTTTTTTTTTTTTTTTTTTTCGAAATTAACATAAACGACTAGATTTTTATATTCGATTGCTCATTGTTTTGAAAGCTCATTGCAGCCCTGCATGTAAAACACAACCACATTAACAACAGCAGGAACAGCAGTAACAGTAAGAGCTGAGTGGGATGCATTAACAGTACGTGTTCGTACCATTGAGACTTCTCTGTGTGTGTATGTGTGTTTTTTTTTTTTTTTCTTTCGAAATTTTCAGCCAACGTTGGCGGTTTAATGGGCCTGTTTCTGGGCTTCAGTTTTCTGTCGATAGCCGAATGCGTGTATTTCGCCCTCATACGTCCGTGCCGCATTTGCGCACAGTTACGGCAGCAACGCGCGGTATCAGCCTTAGAGCTAGGCAGAGGAGGCGGAGACAGAGCGACACCGCCAGTTGTAGTTCCAATTAAAAGAACCAAAGTGCACGTAAGTGCGATGATGCCGCACCAGCAGTGGCAGCGCCAGAGGCAGCGGCAGAGGCAGAGGGCATGGCAGCCGCAACAACACATTTACCCCGCCAACTGGTTCCAAGCGGAGCTGAGCCAACAATACAATTTGGCTTAATATTCTGCTTTAAATTTAGGTAAAGAATTTCAAATCTTACTATTAGCATTATAAACAGATATACACACATATGTATATATATTTTATTTTATAATATATCCCAGTATTTGGTAACTATATCATATTGAGGCAGCGCAAAGTTTGTTGGTCGCTCGTAGGCCATCGTAAACTGTTTTACTTCCTTTTTCACCTCATCATCGAAAATCTAAAAAGAGAGAATTCAACATTATATATATAATCTCTATATATCTTAATCTTAAAGAGAGAATTCAACATTATATATATAATCTCTAAATATCTTAATCTTAAGTATCAAAATCGATACTAACATTGCATTCCTTTATTTCCAGCAGCGACGATAGATCAAATTCGACCATGGGCAAACTTTTGTTGATAAACTTAGCGGCATTGGCTACCTCGGGTACCGCGTGCTTCTGCAGCAGCACCAGCTCCCAGAGCGAGCTTTGGAGGGCGCCCGCTTTGACCGGATCTAGTTCTGTTTCATCATAGGGATCCGCAATTTCAGCGACTGCAATTACAATATACACAGATATGTCACAATATCTTTCAATTTAATACATGAGGCACTTGGCTTACCGCTTGCCGCACCCGTTGCACAAATGAGACGCTGCAGTCCTGTGTGGCGCAGCAGTAGATTGCATATGAAACGTATCATTATGATGGCATCCTCGGTTGGACTCTTGAGGGCGAGTCTAGCCAGACGCTTGGCGAAAGCGGCCACCAAATTTTCTGGCAAATGCGTTGAGGTCAGAAATATATCGGCCAAATAAAACAAGCGCGCCTTGTACTTGTTGTAGAACATGCGCGGATAGAACATATTATAGAGCTTCTGATAGACATCTGGGTATGTGATATTTTGCTTTTGCATCAACGTGAAGATGCCCTGCAGAGCCAACAGGGCGATGGGTCCATCTGCAAAGATGAAATTTTCAATTGAATTTTTATGTAAGTTAATCAATCTCTCGTCACCCTACCAAACTGATGCAGTGAATCCATTAGAAAGTCTGTTAGCAATATGGGATCCTTTAGGTGTGGTAGTATACGTTCCAAGAGCACCACAAGAACCTGACGATGCACCTTCTCGTCCACGCCATTGCATGATGCAATGACACCACTCCAAACCTTATTTAAGAGCTGACGCGTTCGCTCATAATCAAAGGTGGACTCTGGTCCAATATGGAATTGTTTGTCGTTTAGCACAGTCTTGCCCAAGTCCAGCACATTGATGATGGCCAAATAGTTAAACGCTAAATTTGGTGTATCGACAAAACTTTTTGGTGCCAGACCAGGCAACAGTTGATATGTGAACTGCAGGACGTCCAAGCAACGAGTAAATTTGGCGAACTCCGCCAGAGCTGCGGTTGGCGTTGCCTCTGCATTGATCAGCGCCTCGAGGATGCTGCGCAGTCGTGTAACGGGCCAGGCATTGGAGCTGCTGTGCTTGGCCTCGGCTGCTATCAGCTGCATGCACACCTTAAGCGCACCGCCAGCTTCCTCCTTGGAGGTATTTCCCAAGTTGGCCAGCAATAAGGACCAAGCTTTATTGTATTGTATTTGACATGTTGCGTTGGGTTCTTGTGGCTTGGCTTGAGCATTACCCTTAGACTTTTTATTCTCGGCAGTCGAAATGAGTTTGCGCTTCAGTAGATTTCTGAAGATCACCTCAAGCACGTACATGATGCCGACGGCATTGCTGTCGGGATTTTCCTGTAAAATTGTGACATTGCATATATATTATTTTATTTTTGCATTTTATCAACAGTAATTTACTTACCAAGAGATTAACCATTTGCTTTAGAGCTTTTGTGTTCACAGGACTGGAATTCAAGAAATCGTTGGCTTTTTGCTGTAAAGCGGGTGGCACATTGGCACGCTTTGCGGCCAACTCTGCAGCCTGTTTATTGCCTGATTTATTTTCTAAACTATTTTGTTTCATACTGCACACTTTACCATTAGTTAATGTTTAAAAAACAAAACATGTAGAGAGAGAATAATAATAAAACGTGCGCGCAGTTGTAATGCTGCCAACTCGTTAAACTATTTACGCGGACTTTGTCTATAATTAGTACATTTTTGTCACTGCTTAGCACATGTGTGCGCTTGTATGTATATACGCTTAAGTATTCAGTGCAAGTTATTTTTCCTAAAATTGTGCATAATAAACAGTTAATCGACATGAATGTCAGTACGGATTTTAAGCCTGTGCTGACCCGCGCCGCGCTTGCATTGAAGAAATCAGCGGATGAAGCTGAATTTAAGGCTTTGGTATTCCAGGAACCACAAGCGACAATAACAACAAACCAAACAGAGCAATTATCAACAGATAGTAGCACAGGCAAAACAACAAATGTAAAGAGGCCAAAGGAAGAGGATAATGAATTCGACATTAAGAAAGCACGCCAAGAGGTGCTCAACTTTGCCATATCCAATCAACGGACGATCAAGAGCAAACGAAAAATGGAAATATTTCAGCTGGTCAAACTTGGCGCCAAGCCACCAAAAAAGGCATACAAAAACTACAAGGAACTGAAGGCGGAACGCAAACGTCTACAGGAAATCCGAGAGGAGCGCAAGAAATTCCATCAATTGGGCAAAAATCAAACTGGCGCAGCGAGCGTCAAGTGCAACAAGAAAACGAAGGAAAAGCGGCGAGCGCCTGTTGCTAATATAAGCCAGCATTATGGCAAGGCAGAACCGAAGTTTAAGAAACGAAATTAAAAGACTTAAAACTTTATTAGTGATTTTTCAATTCTAATGGGGAGCATTTTTGAATGTTGTAAACAAACTAATACACATATTAATACATGTACATATATTCCTGTGTGCGTCTGTATGAATAAATGATAGTTGATGTTTAGAGCTAAATGGCAACGCCACAAACTTGGAGCTGCCAATCTTCTGTAAATCATCTGATTTTTGTTGTTTTTTTTTTTTTTTTTGCACTTGATATTTGTCAGTTGTGCGATTACGTGAATTCTGTTGGACGTTTACGTTTGTATTGAATTTGCCATAAAAATGAATGCAGCCCCACGAGCCGCTTTCAACCAACTGCTACGACGCGGCTACAGCCAAGCTGCTAAGGGCACAGGTGCCTCAAGACCCGCACCAAGCAGCGGGAGCCGAGTCGCCGCCACACCTGGACCAGCAGCACCACCCGTAAAGAACGTAACTGGACTAAGCAGCGCCTGTGTGAGGCCGACATCGACACCAGTTGGTCCTGGAGCATCTCCAACTGGCGACTACAAAGTTCCCGAATATTTCTGTTTCAATCGGTTCAGTTATGCGGAAGCTGAGGTCGAAATGGCCAAATACCGTTGCCCCCAGCCATCCGCATTGAATAAAAACTAAAATATTGTAATTAATGAGCAAAGAGTCATACAAAGAAATGTTAAGAATAAAAATACATATATAATAAACGATGATACGGAAATATATCCTCAAGAATAGAGAAAAACAAAACACATACGGGCTCACGTATATATATAAATATATTTTTATACACATATTCATATATGTGTGTATGTATATACAATATATGCATGCGTAGATATGTAYAAAAACATCAAAATGTAGTCACGTATGTATATACATGAATTGGGCATGCCCACCTGTTACACAAGGTTGGCAGCCCAACACATTTTGGCATCAGTTGGCAGTCCGCTTTGCTTCTTTTATTTTGCACTCGCTCTCTCTCTCCTCTTCCACTTCTATTACTCTTTATAATTTCATGGCGAGTGGCAGTGCTGTGGTGTTCTGGGTAATCGACATCGAAAATATTGAGCGCGGGAAGTGATATTATTACAGTTTAGCATCCAATTTGTTAATATAAAAAACAGAACTAAATAAAATAAATTTTTTAATTTAATTTGTGTTAAATTCCCAGTGTATCAAACCCCAACCAAAAACAATTATAAAAACAAAACTATACAATTTGTTGCACGGCGCAAGCCACGGGGTAGCAGCTCTGTTTGTGCGTGTATGTGTGGTACAGTTGGGTAGAAAAACATTGCTGGCCTGGCAGCGCCGCACAAATTTATGAGCTCCAGAGCAAAAGCAAAGCGAGCGAAATCAACCAAAAAGATCTTTGCAAAACAAAAACAGTGACGTTACGGAAATTTCAGCGAATAATATTACTGACAAAGACAACACAAATACAATCATTTAACTGCAAATAAATATGTATAGCGTTGCCAATTTGCTGTTATAATTCACAACAGGGACGTCTTGTCGAGCACAATCGAAAACGCAGTGCAGTGAAAGTGTGCGAAACAGAATTCACAGAAATCGCTTAGGAAAAGGAAAACCGAAAAATGTAAAACCATTTAATGTAAGTGCGAGACGATTTTCAAAATACAGCAGCTCTATAAAAAAAAAAATTTTTCATTGAAATGCGACAAGAGAGAATGTACATGCGTTATGTGTGTGTGTATGTAAATATATATTAATATTAGATATATGTGAGTGTATGTACATACAACTGGCGCGCAAAAATCAACGTAGTTCCTAATAGAGCACCAAAAATGACAAAAATGGGCGCCAGAGTTGTCGCACAATCAGAATAGGGAGGAGGACGTGATGAGCTATTTGAACACGAAAAAAGCACGAACAGATAAAACATATAAACTATATTAATATGATTGTAAGATTTGAAGGCCATTTTAATGCATTCAAAAGTTCTTAGATTCATCATAAATATATATATATA